GTTTATTTTCATCCCTGCTTCTGCTGTTTCCCCTTTAAGCATAAAGGAGTTGCTAACACAGTAGGTAAAAGACCTGCCCTCAATTTCAAAGAATAGTAATTAATGGTACCATATCCCAGGGATGTAATGAAAAGTTCCAGGACAATTTAGGAGAAGCCAATAAATGCCCATTAAGACCTTTGAAATAAACTTACTGTGATGTGCCCTAAGTTTTACAAGTGGTCACATTAYACAGATTTGACTAGCAGGAGCAAATTAACCTCTGGGCCCTGTGTAATGTACCCTTTGGATACAAACTTCCCAGGAAAGAAGGGGCTGCTTGAGGAAAGCCTTGAATGTTAACATTTGCTTCAGGTAAATAAAACTCCAAACCCAAAACCCCTGAAGAACAGCACAAAAGGAATTAATGACAGTCCCCAGCTGCTGACAGTTTTCCTTCATTCAGTGCTTACTTGTACCAGTGAGACTTCTGTGTGAACAGTTTAAAGGGTGAGAGTAAAGGATTCAGGTTTTGTGCCTTTCATTTAATATCCAGGGTGTCATTATAAACAGTCAGTCTTCAAAGAGGGAGGAAAAAAGAACCAGCCTTCAACAATACCTCAAGAAAACCCACCAAAACAAGGWCAGTGATCTGGGGCATTTCCAAGTGTATACAGAGGAGCATTGCACTTTAGAAACACAAGGCTGCAGGGACTATTCACACAGATAWATAGCTAATGGCAGCCAAATTATATATAGGCATTTTTTATTCTCCTGCTTTTTTTTTTTTTTTCTCATTTAAAATGGTTTCCTTCTGTTCTGCAGGACAATGGGATGCTTGTGCCCTTTCTCGCAGTCCCACTGGCATTCTCTGGGCAGCCAATATTTATCTGGGATTATGTTACACAGTGCTTCATTATCTCTTGGATGTTTCAAAAATGCATTAAGGTAAGTCAGCATATTGGGGAAAAGACTGTTCTGTGAGAGATAAACCATGCTGTTTCACAGGGATACATGGATTTGACAGTATTGTCCAGGAATGAAGAGTACAAGTGAATTTATGACTTCAGAGAAAACATAAACACTGAGCTAAAGATGTCTGCAACTGCCTTCAGTACCATCTGCCATCAGAGGGGACATGACTTACAYTGGAATTCCTCCAGAACTGAGATTATCTCTATACTTTCTGCTGTCTTTATGATAATTGCCRCCAAAATTCATCAATATGCTTTGGGATCGCAGATGCTATCATAACAATAAAACAGTTGGATTAATAAAAAGACCCCTGAGCTCCCAGTTAGCRATGTGCAGAGGATTTCTGCCACGGAAATATTTGGGYGAGGTTAACTAATTAGGGCAGCTTYCTCTACAGGAAATAATGAAGACATGAGCTGCAGGAAATAACATGAACCTCTGAACCACCTGTGGTTCAAAGTCTGAACCCCTCAGTTTCTGATGGAATTAGGAGCGAACTCCATTTATTGAAGCACCATCCATGCTGCCCTTGAGTTACTGCCCAGAGAAGAAATCCCACAAGAATGCACATCCACCAGTGTCTGAGGATGATGCTGTTGCTGGGAATGCACATCCACCAGTGTCTGAGGATGATGCTGTTGCTGGGAATGCACATCCACCAGTGTCTGAGGGTGATGCTGTTTGGCATCATCCACGTTTGGCATTATCCATGTGCGCTGCTGGGCACACACACACACGCTTTGGCCTTTGGATGTAGTTACAGTGCACTCCCCCCTGTGCAGACAGTCAGACCCAGCATGTGTAAAAGACATTGCAAAATTATTGCCCATGAGGATCCAGGCTAGGCTGGGATCTTGTACTTGGCCATCTCCACCAGGAGCTGCCACAGGTCAGGCAGGCATGGGGATATCTTATCCTCTCATAGCCAGTGCTCCACTCTTCTGAACCGCCAAGCCAAGTCTCAGTAATGTCACACAGAACACAGAGAAGGAATTTGAGTTAAAAGCAAAGTGGGAGCTCAGGATTTGGGTGTTTACAYAGGTTKCTGAGAGGCTGACCAACAAGTACARGAGTTTGCCCTKCCTGCTCTGAAGTTTTGAAGACCCTGGCAGTGATGGTGGCTGCACAAGGCAAAGGGGCTGCATTGACTCATCTCACGGAGAGCTGGTCCAAGCAGAGCCTGCACCTACACCTCCAAAGTACGTCCTTTTTTAAAATAATCTCTTTGTAAAACAGAAATTATCAATGCTGCTTCTTCTTCTAAAATAGGCTTTATCAATGCTGCTTTCCAGGAATCCAGGTTTTCTGAAAAGGTTCTGCTGAGCTTTTCATGAAGATAGCCACAGGTGAAAGCATACAACAAACAGAATGAAGGCGCTCAAATTCAAATAAGGGCTTAGCAAAGCTAAGACATGCCAGTGTCAGCATGTCTCTAGCATAGGAAGGCTCTTCTTTTGTGCTTACAATGCAGCCTTTAAGTTCAAAGTACAAGAGGCATTGCTTTCTGCAAGTGGGTTTGTGATAAGGGCATAAATCTATTTAGCTTAAATGACACTGCATTTCTGAACCGCTTAGTGGCAGAAGTCATTTTGTGAGAAAAGAAAATTTTTAGGAGACTGTTWCAAGGTTTCCTGAAAATATGCTTCAAATTCCTACTCAGGCTCACAGCCAGCGTGCTCTTGCTATCTCAGAGCACCTGCCCATGGAGGAGGTTATTGTCACAGCCTCCTCCTACTCACCTTCCTCCTATACAATAAAGCACTGAAGCTCAGCTCTCCTGCCTCCAAGGTGATTGTGTATCATGCCTGATTTCTCCTGTCTCCTGACTACTAAATAGATGTGTGTGTCTTGACAGAGCCAGGGCCCTTCCTCAAAAATGATAAAGGTGTATTGCATGGGCAGAGGTGTGCTGAGAGACAGAGGTGAGGGAAGGCCTTGCCAAGGGCTTCTGACATCTTTCCCATCGGAAAGGTCTCCTGCTGCTGAGGCTGGGGCTGTTCCTCGGTGCTTGTAGGCATCCCTGGTATGGGTGTGACAGAGATCCTGGGGACAACTCCATGGATATGCTATGTGCATTTGGCACTGCCCAGGTGCCTTGTCAGGACCCCTAACTGAGCAGTAGCTGCCATGCCAAAGTCATGTCTGAAGCACCCCAGAGTCGATAAAGTGTAAACAGAAGTTAATCTGCTATCAGCTKGAGCTGTAAGGACTACAGACTGCTTCCAGGGATGATGCAGTCTGCCTTTCCTGAAGGTGCTGCTGCTGACATATTGCCTGGGAAAGGTAAAACCTGCCACAGCTACAGGCAGGAGAAAGAGAGCTGCCAGCTCTTCCCCCCCTAATGTAAAGTGGAGGAAGGAGGCTGAAAATTAAGGTCCTGGAAAGTATTTTAAACCCAGGCCTCCAGCTCTCTGCTAGGAATGACACAGTGCATGAATGGGATCCGAAACACCATTGTTTGCATGCCACAGGGAAAATGCCAATCCAGTGCTTTAGGATCCTCCCTCCTTCTTCAGCCAGTTTCCATCAAAGGCTCGGCAACTGCAGGAACCAGTAGGGTAGAAAATGGCACATCATTAAACCTCTGCTTGGCTTCAAAACCCCACTGCCACCAGGGAACAGAGGGATTTTGTTTAAAATGCCTTTAAAATACACGTTGCCGTTGAAAGGGGTTGCTCATCTTGGCTCAGTTTTGTGGAGATAATTACAGACTTTCTCCGCTGCTTTGCTGATGAGGCTGGTACCTCCCACAGTGCTGGTCAATGAGGCTAAGTGCCAAGTCAGGACAGCCAGCTCCCAGCTCTGGTGTGATCCCCCTGGCTGGGGACTCCCTCATGTGTGAATATTCTACTTTTAAACTCTGAGGCCATTCTGAGTGCCAGATAACATACAGCCCTGGCTCGTCTGTGAGGAGGCAACATGAATTAGCCCTGCTGTCATGAGCTGTGTTCAGCTTACAGGGCAGAGGAAAGGTAAAATTTCCAGTTATCTTACAAAGCTTTTCTCTCCATCACAAGTGATGGCTGTCTCGTGCAGGAGGAGGTGACAGCAGCTTGTCACAAGACTCATGTACACCATAGCAGAGGTGGCAGAAACAAGGCTTTTCTTTCAAATGTATTTCAGAGCAAGAGTCGTTTCTCCTGCCAGCTTGCAGAGTATGRAGCAAGGATGATGTGTGGATCTCAGGAAAGCCAGCTGAGTGACCCTGCATCTGCGATCCTCAATGGACTTAAATGAAACTCCTTCTTTTCCCTGGAGTAAATAATAACAAACTGTGCAAAAACCACCTTTCTGCTGATGCTGCAAACCTGTTTTTTGAAGTGTAGTATGAATGTCTGCATTTAGTTTCCCTCCAACTCAAAGAACTTGGAGGAATTTTTGTCACATGCTGTAAATTAATTGTCATCTGTCTGTTAGGAACTTGACTTGTTCAGGTACCATGTATCCTGCTTAGCCTAAAGTCTGTCCAAGATACTGGAGAAGGACATTGGTATTGTCCTGTGCTTTGGCTGAGATAGATGGCTCTTTATCAGTGCTCATAACTAATTAAATTAGCAGATCCACCAACATGGCCAGGCTTGAAAACTGTGCCTGACCCATCCTGCCAGACCAATTTCACGTCGGCAATTTGGCTGTGTGTGTGCTGATGACCTCCCCATCACCCRTGCAGTGGGTCCAAGGTGTACAGAACACATGGAGCTGACTCAGCTTTCTCAGCAGCCTCTCTCCCCACGTTGTGCAATGTACATTTACCAGGAAATGGGCGTTGCACAACCMTGGCAGTGAGGSTCAGAAGGTGGGGACTCCTCACACYCCAAGCAGTCCCCAYCACTAACATTGGTAGAATTGGTAGGACTGGGATGGAGCTTCAGCTCAAAGAGTGGCTCTTCARGCTTTTGATGGCAAGAATGAAGAAYYRTCTCTGTGACTCAGCCAATGGAAACATTTCTGATGTCTGATGTTTGGTATCGCCATGCCCATWGGTGTAAGAAAACAGTTGTGTTTTGGGGCACTGAAGTGTAAAGTCTGGATATAGATGCACTCACCATGAAGAGGATGGTCCACTGGGAAAGCACATARCTGATCTTCCTCTTCCTCATGTTTCCTTTTGCCTTCCAGGCGTTCCCGCCCCATGTCCTCCCCCAGGATGGACACTGGGCTGTCTCCAGGTCTGCTGCACTGAGTYGCCTGCACTCTCCTTGCTCTGGCCAACGGTGTAGCACACTTGGTGGGGAGAAGCATTTTGGCTGAAGGGAAGTCCCAGTCAGACTGACTCCTGCTGCTGGMATCTGTGAAGAACACAGCACAAGACAGCTTTGAATAAAGCAACCATGGCTCAGCGCACCTTCCAGTTTGTTTGAWAAAAAGTGCTCTGTACCATTCAAACCTGATCAGATTTATAATTACCCTAAACCTTCTGTGCTGCTCTTCAATACCAAGATTACCCCATGTTGCAGACACAGGATCTTGGTGAATCTGACCCCCAAATCTAGCCTGCTCTCTGGTTTCTTCCACCTTAAAACTTTCAATGGTCCTTATGGGAGATATTTTAAAAAGAACTGCAGAAATAAGGAGACAAACCCAAATGGCTGAGAAATCTCAGCTTCCCTGTCAGTATCCAAATTAGTGGCTGCCTTTTCTGAAGAACTCAGAAGGAGAGTAGATATTGAGCTGCTCTGAAAATCTGTCAGCAAGATCACCATGGAATTTTCTGGATGCCAAATGCTTTTAAAAGCCTGGTCCTTTCTTAAATTTCCCTGTAGGTACATCTACCCTATAGAAAAACGGGCCAATGAATATGCTAAAGGGTTTCTTTCCCAATTCAGGTCCATGTGTCCTTTCTCCTTCATCTAGACTGCCTGCTGCTCTGATTTAGGCATTGGACAATTCCAAAGGCAGCTTTTGCCCAGGCTGTCAACATTTCCCACCTGCCTTTGTGAYAGGTGATGGTGGTGACATCTAGGAAGGCACTGGCAGGGTGGCTGGTCCCCTCTCCCCTCTCTTATCTAAATGGCAGCAGGTTGAACCACTACAGGTTGTWCTGGAAGAAACTCCACTTTTTAATATATATTTCACATACATATATATGTATATGTTGTCACCTCTGGCATTGGCAAAACATCTTTTTAGAATTGTCAGAGATTTATTTTCCCAAACAAACATCAAGTTCTATTTGAAAGCAGCTTTGGAGCAATGATAATTGTGACATCTGGAGACAAAGTACCCAGCTCTGACTCTGCCCTTGCTAAGAGCCCACACAAGAGGAATTTTATAGACGGTGACACTTACATAAAGACAACAAAATTATAAGAGCYCTGAAAATTAGCCAAAGCCTCATTTCAATAAAGGGTAATTTTTCAAATACTGTCTATTCAACTTTGAACTTTGAGTAACCTTTGAAACACAATTACAAGTGTCCAGTCATATGGACCTTAAAAACCTGGCCCACCCCTGCATTTAAGACACGCTGTGCAAAATTGGACTMATTTAATTCCTTTAGTATCAACTAACTTTGGGTTTTCTGGTAAGAAAACATGTGAGGTTTTGAATARTATTTGTGGGATAAAGGAGAAGGATAGACCTGGGAATGGTCACCAGCATGAGGAAGGGGTTAAATAATAGATGATCAGAGGATAYCAGTACTGGCATAGGTTCTTAGCCCAGGATTTTTATCTTGGTCCTCCATCCCTAAATTAAATACTAGTTACAATCCTTTGCTAGATGTGATGCTGTGAAAAATAATGTTACAGAATTGATGATGATTTCACCCTACATTAATGAAAAAATGTGAGGGTACCTAAGCAAGGTGCTCTTATGGGAAGTGATTAAAGCTTTCTATGAATGACATTAGCATTTTCTAAAATATAGAAGACTTTTCACATGTCTACTGCCTTTATATACACCTTTCCTCCCCAAAATGTTTCCCTGAGATGCTCACATACCTCACTGATGAGCACAATTTATGTATGAGCATGGAGAGAATAATTACAGACTGAAATAGAAAGAACAGGGAAGAAATGGAAGACAGTCCTAAGCAGATGGAAAAATGCCAATGTCTCTATGAACTGGTGAAAAGGAGTGGGAGGATCTGTTGTTTGAGATCAAAGAAGTATGAACCATAAAAAGTGGCTGAATAAATCACAGAATTTTTCTGGAGAGTAAGATTGAAAGTAGATGATACTGAGTTTAAAGTACATAGCTGAGCGTTAGGAGCCCCAATCCTGTTTTCATTGCAGTTTTCTCTGGTGC